ATCGCAATACAAACAAATGGCGGACTCAGCGATTGAACTACAGGTGCGATCGGGAGGGGTGTGGGTTCACCACTACAAGTAAGACAACACTAAAGACACACCAAACGAGTCATATTAGGCGCCGACTATTCAAGTGTTCAGTGAATGGCTGTAAGAGACGGCTCAAAACCAGAGACTACATGTCCAGACATCAGCTCAAAGCACATCCGGAGTGTATGCCATGGATAGAGTGCCCGCACACTGACTGTCAGTATAAGTGCAAAGTTAGGGCCGATATGTGCAGACATACGGAGAGTCGACACCAAACCAAATACCCGTTGAATACAAATCACGGGAACAGACGGTCAGCGGACGGGCTGTTTGAATGCAATGCTGAGGGCTGTGCGAAGAGATACCAATCCTTTAATGGTATATATCATCACAAACAGACCCATAAGAACGAGCACTGGGTGTGTGATGTGGGCGACTGTTCCCATACTTTTAAGACACGCCACTGTCTGCTACAACACCGAAAGCGATGCCATTTAACGAATCCATTACTGAAGTGTTCACTGAATGGCTGTCAGAAGAGGTTTAAAAGGAATGGTGACTTAACTCAGCACCAGAAGCGACGACATCCCGAAGCACTACCAGCCGTGCCGTGGATTGAATGCTCGCACATTGGCTGTCAGTATAGGACTAAAAGCAAGAAGTATATGACGGTCCACGAGATGGATCATAATTGCCATGAGATTAATGAAACAATGGGTGGAAGTGTTGATGAGAATGATGTCAAACGTGAAGACAAACCCAATACTAGCGAATCAATTGATAGACAATACGTGTGTTATTGGAAAGACTGTGGGAAGAGGTTTAGTAACGCGACGTCATTGCATAGACACAGCCAACTACACCGTGGGCTGACCTACCGGTGCGATATCGGCAACTGTAAGGCAGTGTTCGCCTGTTCCGCGTATCTGAGGCAACATAAGTCGAGAACAGATCACTCGCATTGCGTTGACATCGGATCCGATGAAACGATAGACACGTCTAATGAGAGGACTGGTATGCAAAGTGATACGACTGTCAGTCAAAGTGGAAGCGATGTAAAGACAGACACGAAGACAGACGTGAAGAATGTCCTGAAGATTGAATCGAAATTCAGTGAATCCATGGATTCAAAGCCTAAACACGAACTCAAAGTTTACGTATCGCTTAATACAAGCGATCAATCCGTGAGCCAAACGGTAAGCCATCAAATGGTTGGACAAACACCCGATCCCTCAGCGGACAAACGGTTCAAGTGTTGGCTCAATGAATGTCAGCAAACATTCAAACAAAAGCGGAGTCTCACTGAACATCAACGCCGAGTACATCCCAATGAGTTGCCGGACATACCATGGCTCGAGTGCTTGGACACCGGCTGTCAGTATAAGACTAAATGCAAGAGATCTATGTCTAAACACACGACACTTCACCTCCGATGCGATCGGTCTGTCGTCGAACCTACCGCTGGATCTGTTGCTGACAGTGGTGTCAATAGGGGACAGGAGTCTCAAGTGATTCAAAGTATGGACTCCAATAGAGCGATAAATACGGGTCCAGTGGTGGGAAATGCTGGCAATGTATGCAATCAAAGTACTGTTCAATACAGGCCTACTGTGCCGACTATTTCCAGTCACCCAAACACCAGTTCCTATACAATTGCCTTAGAATCTCAAATGCAGTCATTGTCAGCGCCGACGGCTACATACCTGTGCGACCGGGAAGGCTGTCGTAATGATTACACGAATAACCAAATGTTATATCAAATGAATCACTCGATGGACACACCGTTCAAGTGTTCGCACAATGGATGCAACGAAACGTTTAAATGCAAAGAATCTCTGAATGAACACCAATTGAGTGGACATCCCATCGACTTATCGGACATACCGTGGATCGTATGCCAACACCCGAGCTGTCCATTTTGGACCAAATCCCAGGCCGATATGAATAACCACATGACATGTCATTTGGTACAGACATACGCCTCACCACCAGTTCCCGAGTCGGTGGGCTCACCACCGGATCAGCTGTTTGTGTGCGAATACAGCGGTTGTACGGCTGCCTATCAAACGCAGTGGGCTTTGGATCGGCACAAGATTTGCATGCATTTTGATCAGCACCGGGATCTCAGCGACTGTACCGTAATGTTTGGTTCAAATCAAGCGCAGACATACGCGCCCGAGGAATGGGACTACACTTCTGTCCTGAATATCGATAATACGACTCAACAAACGACTGGCCACTCGATGGACAGCCTATTCGACGAATTCAATCAATCGGTTAATAGTGACCCCTATTTGGGTGAACAGCAAAGGGAACGCCCGTCCAATGAGGTGACGATTATACCCTGGTATGAGTGCCCGCAACGGGGCTGTCAGTACAGGTCCAGCGATGAGCAGTCCATGAGAGTGCATATGAGTGCGCACAGCACCGACACGACGGCATACCAGTCCCCGTCAGTGCAGGGATTCAGTGATGGAATTACAGGTATTTTAAGAGTTAATAGCATTTGAAGACGATTTTAACACTAAAATCAAAAAAGATTTTTTATATTTCAGACATTGATTCCAGTGTCGAGACAATGGCGGGAAGTGTCGATGAGAATGACGGCAACTATGAGAGCGATTGTCAACTGTATGAACCCATGGACTCGAATCCCGCGAGCGTTGTCTCAAACGTGGATCAAGTCTTGGGATGCGATGTCAATGATGGCGATTACGGTGAATGCAAACCGAGTTTAGCGCAAAACACACCGGCGCTGACCGACGAGTGCTACGCGACTACCGTTTCCCAATCAGTAGTCTCGGACTCATCGCCAGTGGACACCACACCATACCTGTGCGACCGGGAGGGCTGTCGGACGGCATATAAAAGCAATTATTTAATATACGAATTGAATCACCCGTTGGAAGGGCTGTTCCAGTGCTCACTCAACGGCTGTCAAGAGTCGTATCGGTGTAAGGAATACCTGAGCGATCACCAGAGGGACAGGCATTCAAATGAGGTGCGACCGCACCGTAAGGAAGTGTCGGGGTTCGTGTGCCAACACCAGGGATGCCATTATAAGACTAATAACGAGCAGTCGATGCGACAGCACATGAATAGACATATTTATGATAACATTTGGGTCCCAATGAACCAGATTTGGCGATAGACTTGCGGTTAATGTTTGGTTTGAGAGACGTTTAAAATTATTTGTTTTATGTTTTGCTTAATTTGCAAATTATTAAAATTATCAATTAATTTAATGCCAATCAATGCTATGTTTAACTATTGATTATCAATTCAATGACTGTAATTGATTTGTGATATTAAGTGTTGATTGGCTATAATTGTGCCATACGTTTGCGATAACTAATGATCTGATTTGCAAACATTTCTAACATTTATAATGTATAATATTTACGTGTTTTCTATAAAAAAAAACAGTATTTTAAATGCTTGTAATACACAATCATTATATGAAATTCACTTAAATAAATGTTAAAGTAAAGTTATTTGCTTTGAAAAATTATTTTGTTAAATTATTACAGTATAATCTTTATATATTATATTATATTATATTAATTATATGACTATTATATTAATTATATGACTATTATATTAATTAATGTAAAATCTATTGAACTATTTATCAATGAATTAATACCGGTAATTTAAATGTTTAATTTCATTTTACAGTACAATTATACTTGAATACAATTTTAAAAGGTTTTGAATAGCCGTACCAATATTGCCCCCTTAATTAAATATTACAATTTACCTCGTTAAATAGTTACGACATATTTGTATGGTCCTCTATGCACACCTCACCTAAAAAAAGGTGAAAAAACTTTACAAATTCTCTCACCAGAGCTGTAAAGCACAGGGGTATTCGTTTTTATATGTATAGTCCCATTGGGTATGTCTATTAAAAGGGCCCAAAACTTTTTGCTGTTCTCAAAGAAGACTGTCAGGATCTGGCTAAGCTGGCAATCGGGATTTTTTGGTTGGATATGAAAGTTCATTTAATGCTGAGTCCGATTATGTAATTTAT